GGCCACCCTCCGTGGTGTCACCGTGCGCGGGTTCAGCGCACCTGGGCGCGCGCGCGTGTAAGAAGCGGTCACTTTGGGTCGTCGTTTTTTTGGGATTCTGAGCGGGTGAAAGGTGATTCAGTTTATTAATAGATGATATAGATGTGTTTTTCCATGGTTCTTCTTCTCAACTTGAGAACATATATAGAACATTTTACACCAAACAGAATGGTCAATTGTCAATTGCGGGGGTCAATTCTCAGCTTGTGCCATTTTGGTTGCTTGGGCCTCGTTTGTGCTTTCTCTGGACCCCAGCAGTGGCTTTCGTTTGTGGTTTAGCCAGGGCCGATGTTCACAAGGTGCTTCAAAGGGTTCAGCAACTGCCCCAGTAAAAGCGCTTCAAGATACAAGGCCCTACTGCCCTACTCTCTCTTTGTTTGGACTGTTACAGTAGGACAACATCCATTGGTTTGTAGGGAGTTGTTGGAAAGAAAGCACGATCAATGATGCGTGCATCGTAAGGATTCCACGTCCTTCATGCCAGTTGCCCACGCTTCTTACACTTGTTCACATCTGCTCATGACATCAAGTTTCACTTCTCTATGTTCTTGAAGACAGACAAGTAGCAATGGGTCAGTTGAGGGTAGCTCAGAATCCAGCGGCAGTCTTGTTGCGGACCAATACTTTGAGTATCTGTGAGCGTGGCTTCTTCAAGCGTGTATCTGAAGCCTGGCCAAGTTCAACCAATTTGCAGTACTCAGTACTCATGATACAATCCACAAGGTGACGCACCTCAACCCCCCAGATGTGGGGATCGCAACAACTGAAACCTCGACAACCAAACAAAAAGAGCGCGCACACGCGCGCGCCTCGCGCCGCGCCCCCGAGCGACCCCAGCCGGTCACCGAGTGTGCGGTGACGTTCGGCGCTGTCACCGGCGCCTCAGCTCGACCGAGCCGCGCGGTGAGGCTGGGGGGAGGTGAGATGGAACGCCCAGATGATCCCATGGACCCTGAAAACCACCACTGGTGGCTGCGGGTCAACGGAAACAACGATCTTTCCCATGGTGGCTGCGTCAAGACATGGGGACCCTGGTTGACCAAAAAGGAATCAGAACAAACGAGGGAGGGAGGTCCGACCAGGGGTGGTCGGACTTGGTGTTTTGATCGGCGCCATGTGAGCTTTAAGAGTACACTCCGACTCACTAACATGGAAGTGGAAAACCCACTGTTTGTAGAGGAAAGTAGTCTTCCAAGAGGCCATGCCATCCACTTCCATGTTAGTGAGTCAGAGTGTAAAGCTTTCTGAAGCTGTGATCAAAGCGGATCACTGTGAGCCACTTCGCCCTGGAGGTCCCAAACCCAAATGTGGGCTGACTGTGGTCACCGAGTAGGGAGGTCACGTTTGGGAGTGCTACAAGCGATGGCAACACATAGCAGTGCAACAGAGTATGGTTGGCCCTGGCAAATACTCCACACACAAAACACTGAAAAACCTTTGACCCTCGAAATCTTGCAACCAACCAACCAACCAACCAACCAACCAACCAACCAACCAACCAACCATAACTTAACGCCAACCAACATAATCCAACCAATTCAATGGTCCAACCTACTTATGGGTACTGCCCTTTGAAAACCAACCAGCCCCATGGCAAAGAAAGAAGCAAGTCAATCTAGAGTGGCGCTGGGGCACTTGAGTCATTGTCCAACGTAGATGGCTTTCATTGTTTGTCTTCAAAACATTAAAAACCTACCAACGCAAGTCGTCCAAGATGGTGACGCCTCCTCACCTCAAGAAACACATACATATTGTCCCTTTTGTGGCGTTTGCGTCCATCCAAAACCTCCCTTCCTCTGTTTTGCAGGGCTTCCCCCACCGCTGGCGGCACTGGAGGGCGAGTTTCGGGCTTGGGCGCCTGGGTGCGATCCCTCTCGCGTTTCCCTCGACGCCCAGGTCGCGAGACGTCCAAGGCGAAAGTTCCGACTTCGAATCCACTGGAGGAAAGGGAAAAAAACACACATCAAGTGAGGGGCGGCCATTGGTTTGGGGGGATCTCCCAATCTTCGTGAGGCATGGCTCAGCATTTGCTAGTTTTCTAGCAGTGCCATATGAGGGTCTGGCCTATACGTATCGCCACTTCCGCGACTCTTTCGATCCAACTCAGTGAGAAAAAGGCAGCCTATCCACCAGCTGCGTGTTTGATGAAGTTGCAGATTTGGTCAGTTCACCAACGCCTCCGCCACGATCCCAAGGGATATTTTACTGTATCCCTTTTGTTCCTAGCAGCTTCTTAAGTTAGTAGTAATGGCCTCCACCCTAGTAGCGATGACTCCACCCTAGCGATGGCCTCAAACCTACTCGCTCCCGATCGGCGGAGTGACGCATCAGCTGGGCCTCCCCCGGAAGGGCGGGTGAGGCTTCCGCCTCGTGGGGTCCTGGCGCACGCCGGTGGACGGTGCCGGACGTGTCGGCATGACGTTTCGGTCCGGGTGGAGCCGAAGGTATAGGCCGTACTGCTTCACCTAGTCGTCTCTTCTGCATCTTCGGTGACTCACTGACCCATACTGTAGCCATGTGGATCTTTTGAGCATCCTTTCACCTACGGGACCTATATATGGTGTATTTGTCTGTTTGGAGGCCCCCCCCAAACCAATCCGATTAGGGCCAGAAGCAACCATGGAGTCCCAGCGTCGGAGCCCCTGTCCAAGGTTCGGAAGAACCGCTTTACCTCTTTCCAGAAAACATTCAGACTTCATTCCAAAATCCACCAACCGTTTCCCTTGAATAAAGGGTCAATAGTCTTTCCTCCTCATATGAGTGGCGTGTCCCCAAAAAGGATGAAAGGAAGGATGTTAAAGGTTATCCAGTGACCGGGTAGGCAAATGTAGATCACACTCTCCCACCATGGCCAGGACGAAACGGGCACCAACGCCCTGCAAAAATACCATCCCTCCAACTCCAACAAACATGGACGTGGACAACGCCTTTTTTTTGGGTCTATCCTATTGCCTGTAACAGTGGATGATGATGGTTAGTAAAGGCCTTGTCCAAAAAAAAGTGATAATTGTTTGCTGACTGTTACAGGTATAATAGGACAGACGCAAATATATGGTCTTCCCAGGGGCGCCATCCAATTCAATTATTCCAGAAAACGCGGTTCCCACATAAGTTCTGACTGGAGAACTTGGACGTCGGTGGAACCCAGTCGTCTCGCACACCTCACAATCAACAGGTCTCCATTTTGCGGGCGACGCAAGGAATTGTCAGACACGACGCAAGTACGACGTGGTGCGTGCATCGTAGCAAGCAACTTTGTTCTTTGAACAAAGCACAAGAAATGATGCACCCGGCGTGGCAGTGCAGGATTCTGAAGTTGATTTGCACAAATCACTGAAATACCGTCACGTCCACGGTGGATGAAGTGCGCATCATCCACCGACCGGCTTTTGGGTCCTCTAAGGCAGTAGATTGGCCATCTGATGCTATCTGTACCCCCCACTGCACCCCATGCCAACAGTGCATCTGATTGCATCCCATCAGAGACTTCGATGGCCTCTGTGGGGGAAAATGCCCGGCCTCATGGAAACGTGTGTTGTTTTCTCGGTTCTTGTGCGTCTGAGACAGAATCAAAGCATGGAAGCAAAAGACCGCTCACAAGGCAGGGGATTCCTCTCTTTCAAGGTCTTCATCCTGAAGGTGACCGGTAGAAGTGGATGTATGTATATACTCAGTACTCATTTGACTGGCAGGCTGACCATACAGGCTGACAACCCCCTTTGATGACTGCATATTCCCAAATAGCAACTGCCTGATCCAGCATATCCAATAGCAACTATCACTGCCACATATACATTCAAGTACTATACTGTTCATTGCTTCGATGTCACTTCTCTCACTCCCACTATAATATATAAAACCACTATACCACCGCTCCGAGAAACCCCTAAACCTCCTTCTTGCCGTTCCTCGCGAGGAACTCCTCGCGCGCGAGGAGTTCTTCAAAGCCCTGGTCGACCGCCATGAGACCTGGTCGAAGTGCTCCCTGCCGGAGCGGTTGCCGTTCCGCGAACTGGACAACCTTTCGGTGCCCGTCTCGGACGGACAGGCGACGGGCCTCGAGCTTCAAGGCCCAGTCGGAGAGCGAGTTGGACCTTTTTCTGCGCGCAGTTGGGAGGCTTAATGTTTTTTTTTGGGGGAAGAATCTTGGAAGACAGTCGGGTTTGACATGTTCGATATTGTTTGATCATGCACGTACAATGTGTTTTTGGTTCACATTTTTACCGTGCTCTGCTCCTCTCCGGCATCTTTCCCTGTCGGGTTCTCTGGTTCTCTTCCAGGTAGATGCTTCTTCACGGCTTAAAGAATCGGTGGAACTCGCTGTTCGTAGATACATACATAATACCCGAATCTCTCATACAAGCATATACAAACACAAATCTCGCTGAATCTACGTCTGTGGGGGCAAGAACGTGACGTTTTCGCGCGCATATATATATATATATATTATAGTGGCTTTCTGGTCAGCAATCAACTAGAAGAAATGCTAAGCTCCACTGCAACTATTGAATACTGAATACCTCTGCGGAGGTGGCAAAGGTGAGGTCCGGAAGATAGGTCCGGTTCCCATCAACTCCATTATACCATAAATACGCATAAATCATCATAAATCAGGATTCTGTGGACCCTAGTGATTGTGCGTCTTCCAATAGATTATGGCAATGGTGGACCAACTATAAGTGATCTTTCTTTGTTTTACCAATCAACAGCTTCAAGGAGAGATATTCACAGTAAACTCTTGGATCGAGTCGAATGGCGCAAGAACACCCGGGCGCAAGACCTCCCGCGGTCCAACCGGCATTTGCATCGCCGACGCCCAAGACAGCATCCAGTCGATGTGATCGGTGAGACAGTTTCTGCGGGTGCCGGCGCTGTGCCGCCCTCGACCGGTGGCTGTCATTCAGCCGTGCGAAGCTTTAGGATTAAAGCAAGACCATTTAACACTAAGCGACCAGAGGTTTTCAAATGTCTTTCAGCATCCCGGTCGCGGGCGGGTTGAGCCCCTTCACTGTGTTTTGGAGGCATTGGGGCTCTCATTGCCTGCACCACGACTCTGAAACCGGCTCTAACAAGGGGTTGAAGAGAGTATGCAGGGTGTCTTCTGTGTCCATGGGCGCCTGGAGATCAAGCTAATCTCCCGAAACATGAATTGATCATGAATCTGAGTCCATGAGTCTAACCCAGACTCTCCATGCATGGCATATTACCACCCCAAAGTCGTAGCTAGGATAATAGGTATATATGCAGCCCCATGGAGTGTTTGGGTACTTGGACAAATCACAAGCACTCTCTATGCATCGCTTCTCTCACATTTTATATATGTAATCTCAAACCTTCCTGTAAAACCTTTGTCTCGAGAACCACGGAGCTCTGATTGTTACCTCGAGAACCACCTGCAGGGGTGGAGGACTCGCGGTCAGTGGCAGCTAGGAATGTAGAATCTTGCTTTATAACCCCCCCATGAGGAGGATTACATCCAAATGAAGAGGTTTACAATCCAAATGAAGAGGTTTACAATCCAAAACTGTGAACACTCTGCGCTCCTTTTGTGGTGGTCCTATAATTATAGGGAGAATGTGTTTTATGACTGTTACAGGGCATGGGCAACAGCCAAGGTTTATCAAACAAGATTCTGCATCACAGCCGTGGGTGACTCACTGTCTGTCACAGGAGAGTGTTGGATCGATTCCTCTTTGGGCCGTCGGCTGGCGCTTTTTTTGGAGACCGGAAGTGATGGGCCATACCTATACAGATTGACCAGGATCTGCGGGAAAAAACCACTGACAAAGCCACGCAGGGCAGAGAAGGATTCATGCGTAAGAAGTAGGAGGCATCCACAAATCGGATTCCAAGCAACTATAGACCTGGCGCTCTCAGGCGGTCTCCCCCTCTGGCTGTCCAAACCCCAGGAGCTGGAAAGTGTGTGCACCTTCGTGCACCTTGGTAGGAGACCCACATGTAGGGACAGCACGGCAGGCCAGGTAGCCACACAAGCTGGTCTAGTTCTAGCTGGCAACCCTTTTTCGCAACCAGACATGTGGATCCAACTACCTCCTGAGCAGGTGCCTTTTTGGTGGGTTTGGGAGGTCAGGCTCAGGCTGCTCGGCTACCTTGCAAGGAAGGACTGGCTTGGAGCCCCTGGGGCGGGCAATTTAGTTGGGATTCATATGATTGGATTCATTGGGACAAAGCTTTTTCAAGCCTGAAAACATCCGCACGCGGCCGTCGACGCGCCTGATTCGGCCTCAAAGTCATCTTCGAAGTCTTCTTCGAAGTCTTCCTATGAGGCCCAGGACGCGCTCTCCCAAGCGACGAAAGCGCGGAACGGGGTCCTCTTCGGTGAGAACCTGGTTCTACACCCAGACACGACCAATGGGACTGCCATATATGCCTACATTGACCCCCAAAACCACCCCAATGTAGGCATATATGGCATACATGGAGTGTGTGTGGGATCTTTGGATGTTCTATTTACACGACTATATTATATATGTACCATGCGTATCCATGAGTCACATGTCGGGGTGGTAGTTGGTCCCTAAGTCAAAGTCAGTGGATGTGACAGGGGCACCCCTAACCTGGATAGTACAATGGATAGCACCCAACTTCATTGATTTGCTGGTGCATGTAGTTCCCAAACACTCCATAGGACTGCCATATATGCCGATCAGTTGGGGTGGTTTTGGGGTCAATGTAGGCATATATGGCAGTCCCATGGAGTGTCTGGGGTTTATTGTACCTTATTTATGCACCTCAAGATCGCATATACTCCAGAAACATCCAGTGGCTACCCAGGGTTTTTCTCTCGTAATTGTAGAGCTGCCCAGCGTTCGACAAACACTGGATTTGAAAGCGATACTGCACCACTGGAGAATGGCTCCATACCAAATCCAACCTAATGTCGACTCTTGATTAAGAACCCCTCAATTTAATATGGTAAAACACCGGGTCTACCTGGACCTTCGAAGGGATGTGGCTGGAGATCCCGGATGGTGGGCTGGTGCTTCCAGCCAGGTGACCGAACCCTCCCAGGGGTGTTTTGGCTTTCTCCCACCGCATCGCACAGCACCCACGGCACCGCCATCCGGTGGCAGCTTGGGTGTGTGGCACTGTGGGGGGGGGCGTTTGGGTGTGGCACATATGGAGCAATAGCTGTGGTGCCACTTTCTATCAAACAAATAGGCCACGAGTGGTAGTCACATCGTGTTCCGTAGTCGGCGCAAACGTGCATTGTCAGCCCCATACAGTGCCTCGTCATACTCGTCTTCATCTTCCATGGCCTTCAAGTCTTTAGTAGAAAGAAAACCGGTGCCTTTGCGAGAGACCTGCCACGTCGACACCACGTCGTGTACAGCAACAAGGCAGCAATCTACTCATGCTTCCCAGCGGCTGAACCCTTGAAGTCAGAGTACCAAGTTTTGGACATGTCCTGGATTTGTTGATTGTAGTTTATACAATATTTTTCCTGGTCAACCAAAGTGGTTGGAATGGCTGAAGTAGGATGACCTGCTCATTCGAAATACTAGCATACTACTAGTGTCTACTAGTTACAGTTGTTGTTGCGAGTCCATTGGGTCCATACGGCCTGTTCCGGGTGCCTTTGAATGAGCTCCTCACTGCTCCAGGGCTTCTTGAGACCGGTGACCACCCCACCACCAGATGGTCGCAGAGTCATTGGAGCTTATAATAGGGAACATGTTGCGTGTGCCTGCGCACCAACTTTTGTCGCGATGTGAGCACCATGTGAGCACCGTGAATCGAACAAACACAAAGCTTAAGACCCAAGACGTGTGTGTGACCACACTGCCACACTGTTTGGGGACATCTCCTGGACCTTCACCTCATGTTGAGTCCTCTTCACGTCCTAAAGGGTCGTTGACCAGCCGAAGGGTCGTCCTGCTATGTCCTGTAGGTCCAAATTGGATCTTCTCCATTCCACAAAGCTCAAGTTAAAATCGCCTGCATGCAACATTTGAAGATCGCCTGCATGCAACATTAGGAGATGTTTCGATTCTTTCAATGGGTTTTCTTCAAAAAACTGAAGGTCCGGGATGATTCTTCCCGAGCTTTGTTGCATCAGCTCGTTAGTCAAACATCAACCGATCGTGCCTTGGAGCTTCCTTCGGACGGCGTTCGCTCCTGAGAAACGGTAGGCACCTTTGGAGGGCAATTCTACCTATATATTTCGCAAAAGGATCAAAGCACGGTCGTGCCTCAAGTGATGCTCTTTCAAGAGGTTTAAGATGGGTTAAGCCTTATATAAGTTTAGGCCGTGTTTGAGAGATGTTGAAGAGTTGTCCACCGTTTCAGACTTTTTTTGAAGAAGTCTTCAAAACAACCACATGATATCAAAGCGGATTGTCCAACAAGTTCTGAACAATTGAAAGCTGTAGATCCAAACCCATGTGCCTGCGCTGACTCATCAAAAGTCACAGCCGCCCCTCGATGTTCCTCGTCCTCACACGGCTTTTGACACAAGTAAAATGGTAAGGGGAGTGTAGTGTAGCAACAAGGAAGGCTGTTGCAAATCAAGAACCGGGATGTCCATTTTCGCACCAATTAAGCACCAAACAGCGATGTCACCACACCCATCGCCAGGAGGCTTGCCTCGTCCTCGGCCTCATCCTCATTACCCATGGCCTTCAAGTCGTTGGCAGAGAGGAAACCAGTTCCCTTGCGGCCGACCTGCAACAAATCACTGACAAATGGCACCTTTTATGAGCAGTAGCCATCCCGACTCGGTAGATGACGAAACCACTACACTACCGCCTACCGCCATCTCGGAAGGACTCCCGAAAAAAAAAAAAAAAAAACACAAGCTACTCAGTGTAGGCCTTGACAGTTCCTGGACAGGATCGTTACTTGCAAGAATCTGCTGCACTGGATCCTCCCCCAACCTTGGAGCTTCCTTGGGATGAACTTCGTTCCTGTTGGCCGGCGACACGGAGTGCTGTGGTGGTCGAGTCTGAAGCTGGGGTTGCTATGTCAGTCACAAGTCCTCCCAGCAGGGCAACCAATCTATCAAACCAAACAATTGTACCAAGATACCCAGCAAAGACCATAGTTCCAAGATGTTCTAAGTAAGAAAACAAAACATCTCTTGTTGGTACAATTGGAACACTTGTGTAATTAAACAGTATCCATCCAAACAGTAAATAAACTCTTTGTGTAAAACAGAACTCTCCTGGTTGGGGGTTTCAACTCATGAAAGAAAAACTATGAAGACCATAATATGGGCGACCCATCATCCAAAGTAAAGGCTTGAAGAGAACACATACAGTATCTGAAACCACGCACCCGCTTCTGTTTTTATACGGACACCACGCACCGGTGTTTTTTTCTCAGCTCGGCTTGGGGCCCACATGAGTGGCTCCAACCACGTGTTCCACCCACGGAGCATTCCAGGGGCGCGCTCCAAACGCGTTCCCTCGAACGGCGGTGAACACCAGGAGACCGGTCGTGTGCTACATGGACCAGGGCTCCAGTTTCAACCTAATGATCCTCATTTCAGACCCAGAGGCCATGTTCAATCATGTTCAAACCCCGAACCGCCTGCGCTGTCTCATCAAATGTGACGGCTGCCTTTGGATCCACCTGAGGGGGTTGGGATGTCTTCTCGTCTGGACGAGAAGAAGCATCACAAACTGCGAAGACTGGGATGGAAGAACAATCCAAATGAGCAGCAGCTTCCTGTCTTCAGGGCATGCAATTCGGAAGCAGAACGAGGCAAATGATCGGAATCAACTGCACCATTGTGTGCACCTCGTCCTCTTCCTCAGCCGCCATGGCCTGCAAGTCGGCAGCGGACAGGAAGCCAGTGCCTTTCCGAGCAACCTGCAAGAGGCAATGTTACAGTCAGCACTCATGGGTACTCTTGGTCTCTGAGCAGCAACCTACTTGATCCATGTCTGGCCTACCAGCAGAAAGTAAGAAACAACAAAACATATTGCTCGGTATTATGGGACTGTGAGGCAGAATTAGCTTGATACCACTCTTATCGTAATAGCCCGGCAGCTACAAAACTGTCAGGGCCGATTGAATCCAGCTGCTGGAGCTTGCTCACCCCCAGGCCTTAGAGCTTCCTTGAGACGAAGCTCGCTCCTGTTGGCATTCAGTCGGAGATCGTTTCCAAATACACAAGCGTCCAGCGGTCATAGCATGTCATAGCGCCACAGTTGTTGGCCAACTTTGAGCTTGGCTTGTTCTTTTCAAGAATATGGAGGCTCATGGCTGGTGGAACTTGTTGGATGACAATGATTGTTTTGGGCTAGAGCAAGCATACAGAAAAAAAACACACACACACCAGTATAGACAACAAAAACAAAGGAAGCAAACAGTCTGTTGGAAAAGTACGACCCGCTTCTAGATGTTCAATAAGCTCCCATGATTGCGTTTGGAATCGTGTATTGAATGTCCTTGGCGGCATTGAAGCCAGATGCCACATGATGTAGGAAATACATGAATATAAATGGATATATAGTATACATGAGTGACCTTACAACCCGGCCCTAAACCCTACATCGAAGAACCCATGCGCCTGCGCTGACTCATCAAACGTTACGGCTGCCTTTGGATCCTCTGCCTGTGCAACATGCACATGACTTACTTCTTCCTCTCTGACCCAGACTGTAACCAACAAAAAGGTTGACACACCTGTTGGATGGTTGACAATTGTGTGCACCTCGTCCTCTTCCTCAGCCGCCATGGCCTGCAAGTCGGCAGCGGACAGGAAGCCAGTGCCTTTCCGAGCAACCTGCAAGAGACAATGTTACAGTCAGCACTCATGGATACTCACGGTCTCTGAGCAGCAACCAACTTGATCCATGTCTGGCCTACCAGCAGAAAGTAAGAAACAACTAACCATATTGCTTGGCAGCGGCAATATGGGACTGTGAGGCAGAATTAGCTTGATACCATTCTTATCGTATTAGCCCGGCAGCTACAAAACTGTCAGGGCCGATTGAATCCAGCTGCTGGAGCTTGCTCACCCCCAGGCCTTAGAGCTTCCTTGAGACGAAGCTCGCTCCTGTTGGCATTCAGTCGGAGATCGTTTCCAAATACACATGTGTCCAGCGGTCATAGCACGTCATAGCGCCACAGTTGTTGGCCAACTTTGAGCTTGGTTTGTTCATTTCAAGAATAAGGAGGCTCATGGCCGGTGGAACTTTTTGGATGACAATGATTGTTTTGAGCTAAAGCAAACACGGAAACCAACATTAAGCAAGCAGTCTTTCAAAACAGTACGATCCGCGTGTAGATGATCAATGATCTCCCGTGTTTGCTTTTGGAATCATCTATTAATCTGCATTGAATGTCAATTGAAGCCAAATGCCTCTGATGTAGGAAATACATGGACATGCATCAGTGACCTTTCAACCCTAAACCCATCTAAACCCTACGTACATCAAAGAACCCATGCGCCTCCGCTGACTCATCAAACGTTACGGCTGCCTTTGGATCCTCTGCCTGTGCAACATGCACATGACTTACTTCTTCCTCTCTGACCCAGACTGTAACCAACAAAAAGGTTGACAAACCTGTTGGATGGTTGACAATTGTGTGCACCTCGTCCTCTTCCTCAGCCGCCATGGCCTGCAAGTCGGCAGCGGACAGGAAGCCAGTGCCTTTCCGAGCAACCTGCAAGAGACAATGTTAAAGTCAGCACTCATGGATACTCATGGTCTCTGAGCAGCAACCAACTTGATCCATGTCTGGCCTACCAGCAGAAAGTAAGAAACAACTAACCATATTGCTTGGCAGCGGCAATATGGGACTGTGAGGCAGAATTAGCTTGATACCATTCTTATCGTATTAGCCCGGCAGCTACAAAACTGTCAGGGCCGAGTGAATCCAGCTGCTGGAGCTTGCTCACCCCCAGGCCTTAGAGCTTCCTTGAGACGAAGCTCGCTCCTGTTGGCATTCAGTCGGAGATCGTTTCCAAATACACATGTGTCCAGCGGTCATAGCATGTCATAGCGCCACAGTTGTTGGCCAACTTTGAGCTTGGTTTGTTCATTTCAAGAACAAGGAGGCTCATGGCCGGTGGAACTTTTTGGATGACAATGATTGTTTTGAGCTAAAGCAAACACGGAAACCAACATTAAGCAAGCAGTCTTTCCAAACAGTACGATCCGCGTGTAGATGATCAATGATCTCCCGTGTTTGCTTTTGGAATCATCTATTAATCTGCATTGAATGTCATTTGAAGCCAAATGCCTCTGATGTAGGAAATACATGGACATGCATCAGTGACCTTTCAACCCTAAACCCATCTAAACCCTACGTACATCAAAGAACCCATGCGCCTCCGCTGACTCATCAAACGTTACGGCTGCCTTTGGATCCTCTGCCTGTGCAACATGCACTTGACATACTTCCTACTCTCCGGCCAAGACTGTAACCAACAGAAAGGTTGACAAACCTGTTGGATGGTCGACAATTGTGTGCACCTCGTCCTCTTCCTCAGCCGCCATGGCCTGCAAGTCGGCAGCAGACAGGAAGCCAGTGCCTTTGCGAGCAACCTGCAGGAGCCAATGTTACAGTCAGACCTCGTGGATACTCATGGTCTCTGAGCAGCAACCAACTTGATCCATGTCTGGCCTACCAGCAGAAAGTAAGAAACAACAAAACATATTGCTTGGCAATATGGTTATAAAAACTTTCGTATGGTAAGGCCAGAGTCCTTGATTTGAACAAAAAGTCGAAACAAGTCAAACAAAGTCAACTGCAAAAGGACAAGTCAAAAAACAAGTCAAATTGAAAAGTCAAAAAATAGTAAAAAGACAAAAAACAAGTCGATAAAAAAATGAAAAAAAAGCAAAAAAAACAAAAACAAATCAAACAACAACTCAAAAAAGTCAAAATCAAGTCAACCACTCGAAAAAGTCTAAAAGTAAAAAAAATAAACAAGTCGAAACATTGCAACAACAAGTCGAAAGAAAAGTCAAAACAAGGTGAAATAAAGTCGAAAAAACGTCGGATCTGGGCAAATTGATTTTTTTTGACTTTCTGAAATTTTCTGATTTGACTTTGTTTGGACTTTGACTTTTGGGTTTGACTTCTTTTTTACTGTTTTTTTGACTTGTTGTTTTACATTTAGAAAACAGGCTCTGTCCAATGAACGTTTTTTATAACAATATGGGACTGTGAGGCAGAATTAGCTTGATACCCAGGGCATGTCAGGGCCGATTGAATCCAGCTGCTGGAGCTTGCTCACCCCCAGGCCTTAGAGCTTCCTTGAGACGAAGCTCGCTCCTGTTGGCATTCAGTCGGAGATCGTTTCCAAATACACAAGTGTCCAGCGGTCATAGCATGTCATAGCGCCACAGTTGTTGGCCAACTTTGAGCTTGGTTTGTTCATTTCAAGAATAAGGAGGCTCATGGCTGGTGGAACTTTTTGGATGACAATTATTTAGACAACAAAAACACAGGAAGGAAACAGTCTGTCGAAAAAGTACGACCCGCTTCTAGATGTTCAATAAGCTCCCATGATTGCCTTTGGAATAATGTATTGAATGTCTTTGGCGGCATTGAAGCCAAGTGCCACATGATGCAGGAAATACATGGATATATATACATGAGTGACCTTTCAACCCTAAACCCCTCTAAACCCTACGTACATCAAAGAACCCATGCGCCTGCGCTGACTCATCAAAAGTTACGGCTGCCTTTGGATCCTCTGCCTGTGCAACATGCACTTGAGATACTTCCTACTCTCCGGCCAAGACTGTAACCAACAGAAAGGTTGACAAACCTGTTGGATGGTTGACAATTGTGTGCACCTCGTCCTCTTCCTCAGCCGCCATGGCCTGCAAGTCGGCAGCGGACAGGAAGCCAGTGCCTTTGCGAGCAACCTGCAGGAGCCAATGTTACAGTCAGACCTCATGGATACTCATGGTCTCTGAGCAGCAACCAACTTGATCCATGTCTGGCCTACCAGCAGAAAGTAAGAAACAACTAAACATATTGCTCGGTATTATGGGACTGTGAGGCAGAACTAGCTTGATACCACTCTTATCGTAATAGCCCGGCAGCTACAAAACTGTCAGGGCCGATTGAATCCAGCTGCTGGAGCTTGCTCACCCCCATGCCTTAGAGCTTCCTTGAGACGAAGCTCGCTCCTGTTGGCATTCAGTCGGAGATCGTTTCCAAATACACATGTGTCCAGCGGTCATAGCATGTCATAGCGTCACAGTTGTTGGCCAACTTTGAGCTTGGTTTGTTCATTTCAAGAACAAGGAGGCTCATGGCCGGTGGAACTTTTTGGATGACAATGATTGTTTTGAGCTAAAGCAAACACGGAAACCAACATTAAGCAAGCAGTCTTTCAAAATAGTACGATCCGCGTGTAATGATCAATGATCTCCCATGTTTGCTTTTGGAATCATCTATTATATAATCTGCATTGAATGTCATTTGAAGCCAAATGCCTCTGCTGTAGGAAATACATGGACATGCATCAGTGACCTTTCAACCCTAAACCCATCTAAACCCTACGTACATCAAAGAACCCATGCGCCTCCGCTGACTCATCAAACGTTACGGCTGCCTTTGAAGCCTCTGCCTGTGCAACATGCACTCGACTTGCCTCTTCCTCTCCGACCAAGACTGTAACCAACACAGAAAGGTTGACAAACCTGTAGGATGGTTGACACTTGTGTGCACCTCGTCCTCTTCCTCAGCCGCCATGGCCTGCAAGTCGGCAGCGGACAGGAAGCCAGTGCCTTTGCGAGCAACCTGCAGGAGCCAATGCTACAGTCAGCACTCATGGTCTTTGAGTAGCAACCAACTTGGTCGATGGCTGGCATACCAGCAGAAAGTAAGAAACATCTAAAAGTCTCGCTTGGTAACAATATAGGAACTGTGAGACAGAATTACATGCTACCACTGCTATGTTAGCTCGGCAGCTACAAAACTGTGAGGGCTGATTGAAACCAGCTGCTGCGCTTGCTCAACGCCAGCCTTGGAGCTTCCTTGGGACGAAGCTCGCTCCTGTTGACATTCGTAAACGAAGATCGTCGTGTCTGAGGTTAACCATTTCTTGATGCAGGAAATGTCACAGTTGACATTTCATGAAATGGATGTGGTGTCCTTGTGTGAGAGTATGCTTGCTGGACATGGAGCTTTAACCCCCTGATCTTGTTGGAACTGACTGACAGTCCAACAAGTCCAACAAGAACTAACTAACAGTACGTCTCTTATTCTTGGAGCATTCCACTGAATCGTTGGGAAATACATGAATGTGCATACCAGGACCATCCAAGGGGTGTCCGAGTGTCCATAGACGACACGCCTATTGTTGACCTATGTTCAGTAAACCTACCCTAAATAAAGTTAGACAACTCCTCGTCCTGGTTAATAAACCCACCCTAAATAAATAAAGTTAGACATTTCACCAAAAAACTAAACAATGTATAATAAGTAAATTATATAACTTTAAAACATAGACCAAAACGATGCAAAAAAAAAGACGACACACAACAAAAACATATATGTATATATACAGTATATATAAACAAACATAAATAAACTATAACAAAATAGAATAACATTATTAACACACCCTTGATTCCTGTTGATTCTATATATTGAATTCCTTTTGATTCCCCTTCATCTCAATTCCAGGAATTTCTTCCAGATACTACTTCGCTTAGCTCAATTCCTTCCAAATACTAACTCCTTCTATAGTTCAGTTCTAATATGTTCTATTTAAACTCGAAATTAATTCTAATTCAATGCCAAATTTATTATAATTCAAGCACTAATTTCCTTGCATTTTGATATTCATTTTAATAAAGGGTCATTTCATGTCTCTATTAAACTCTTTCTTTGAATCTGGGATACACTTTATTTAGGTGTGCCCTTTTTTTTCCAAGAAACGCAAACCCCTTTGTACTAATCAGAGGTCAATAGAGGTCAACATTACACTACTTAGGGATCTCCCAACACGATACATCATCTAGGTACAAGAACACTTTAACTGGAAATGCAAGGGACACACCGAGCGTCTCCGAAGCTCCACTAATCCTCCCATCCGCCTGCGCTGACTCATCAAACGTCACAGCTGCCTTTGGATCCTCTGCCTCTGCAGTTCCAGACCCGGCACCAAAACTCAACCAACACCGCAGGGAACGAAAAGGCAAGTGAGACACTTGGATTTACTTCAAGAACCGGCCAAAGACACACAGCATGATTCACCCAAGTTAAGGAAAATTCACCTAGTCAAAGGGAAAATAGAACATCTCCGCAAGCAAAACCAAGGAGATGAGATGACCATACACCTCGATGAGATGACCATGCATCACCCTTTGCCTCGTCCTCGTCCGCCATGTTCTTCAAGTCATTCGCAGAGAGGAAACCAGTACCTTTGCGAGCGACCTGGCACGGCTCAGAGCAGTGGCACCGCTGGTTTTCCTGCAAACAAGACATTTAGATAACTGATGATAACATGATGATAACCAAGCGTTCTTTCCCCTGGCAGACTCAGGCAGACTCTAAGATTCTCATTGCCCGAACTCATATACCTGTGTGATCCTATGGTCGGGTTTTATGTACACTCAAACGGGCAACGAGAGTTGCTGACACTTGAATCCACCTGCTGCACTTGCAACACCCGCCTTGGAACTTCCTTGAGACGAACTTCGTTCCTGTTCAGCAAATTGGTGGCAGATTGATTCCCTAGGAATCCAAGTACCTTCTCAGAAGATTATTGGAGACATTCTTACGTCACTTTTGTAGGCTTGGAGGGTCCAAGTACCTTCTGCGAAGGTAATTACTTGGATTTCTAGGGATTCTTGAGTCGAGTCGCACAAAAACCTCCGTGTGGCAGTCGGGGTCGAACTGTGGGGTCGACTGGGGTCAAGCTGGTCGCCGTGGCGTCGCCCACAAGACCAAATCAAAGCATGATCTGCTGGGGGATGTCTCCAACTACGGGGATTCCACTGATTCCACACCCAAATGTCTCCAACTTAGGTCCTAGGTCCTAGGTCAAACCTCACCCTGCAAAAGTGGTGCAGGTCATATGTCCGAAGGGTGCCAAGGTCGTCCCCAATAAATATGGTCATCACCAGGACCAGTCGAGGTGGTTGCGGGGGGGTCCTGGCACATAAGTCGCATCTGAGACTCATCAGAGAACAGACATGTTGCGCGCTAAACCAATCATGTTCCTCCCTTGGCGCGAAACCCATTCTGCACGCTGCTCTGAAAACCCCCCCTTCCCCAGATCCGAACTGCGCTCCCGCCTGCGCTGAGGCATCGAAGGTGACTCGACTCTCAGCGTCCACCTGTGCACCGCCGACGCCGCGAAGCCACGCGACGCTGCCGATGTTCGGAGCTCTTTAAGGGTTTGAAGAAAAACACCGCTGCCTGTAGAAGGAAAATGAAGGAAACCATGTATACAGCTCCAAGTAAAATTTACAGTATTTTACATTACTAGTATGAGTCTTGCGGAAAATAATCTACCTAGCCTAGCTCCATCTCTTCAAAATATACTAACCTTCACGGTTTTAACATGATTTAACGACTTCTGAAGTTCCCACAGACTCCATCAGCACCGATCCTAGTTGAAGGAAACACGGAAACAACCTACAACTCCTGCATGGATGTGCGCACTTGGATGACGCGCCGACTCATCCTTCGGTTCAGTCTGAGGGATTGAGCCTTGAGCCATGCTCTTCACTGGACTCGAACATCGCAAATCAGCGTGCGTCTGAAAAACTACACTTCAGCGCACGTCCACATGGAGTCTTTTGAATGGCTGACTGCATGGCCAACTATAGCCTCTTTAAAGAAGTGCTGAGAAAGCAAAAAACGGTGATGTGTTCTTCTCTGTTTCCCACAAATAAAGAACACATCGCAAAGGGCAAACGGTTTTCTCGTCAAAAGAGGCGCATATAGGAAAAGGACAGGTGCAAGCCGATTACCCCAAACAGATCAAAACAGGGAGGCCATGTCGATTCTCTCAGGTTTTGGCTTTGGTCTTTTTGAGGCCGTCATTGGCACGATCCCAGCCGAATCCAACAGCTCAAGAAACTAGACGTCGACAGTCTAAAGCCGAACACCGACTGTCCAAACAAATATGGCTGTGGGTCATGGCACCAGGATACCTTAGATTGACCTATACCTGGTGTTGGTCGGTCGCTACATGAACCAGGCCGGCCTATCCATATGATGTGGATCTGTAAAGGGAACCAACCAACTCAGTTGCCGCCTCTGCGTGATCTGCTTGCTGCAAACCCGGGCTTTCCGGCTCCTGGCAATCCCAGCTGATTCAGATGGATATGACATGCGTGTATTGGACACTCATGGGACACCCAAACACTAGTTTTAGGATGGATTTGGTGGATTTGTCCTCTTCCCTGCGGAAACAAACATGCTCGGTAAGTGCCCAGGATCCAGAGTCAGGGTATGGTGGTAAATGCAGTAAGTAAATGCCCTGAATTATATAAAACTCTCCAAACTGGGGTGTATATGATGTTCATGCCCCAAAATAATCCATGTCCACCCTGAAAACTTCAACCATCAACCGTCAATGCCCCCCAAACCATCGCGCCCGCCAACGCGTGGCCTCCAGCGCCGCAGCCAAGTCCTCCGTGGCCACGAAGCTTCGCCCCTTCTTCAGGGTCGCCTCCCCAGCTGCCCCCGACGATTTCTGCGGCGCCCCGAAAAGTTTTGCTGGCCGCAAACGACGGTACGACTGGACGACCGTCCCCGTAAGCGCCGGCAAACTCCGATTTGTTCGCAAGAAACACCGTGCATAGTTTCCAAACCGAGTCGCTGAGTCGCCAAGAACGTTGATGGCTTTCGATGCGAATGTCACGAGGTCACGCAAATGCCACGAAATCGTCGCCATGGCCACAGTGATGCCACCAAACCGAATCTATCAATCCAACAGAGTTCTCCCGACACAAATCCCACGCAACTGAGCAGGACCGAGCACGGGTGCTCGGTTCTGATCGTAAATATCCCCAGACCATCATCCATAATCCAAATATACCTACATGCAATGCATGCATATGTCCTATAGGGGGGTAGAGGGTGGATGTATGTAACCATTCCAATCCCATGAATGGTCTGAGTATTGTAATTAAATCAGCTCTACACATCTTGTGACATACTGATACACAGGTTCTTCTTACACTATATGGCGAGCCAGCCTCATCCGTGTTACTTTGTAGCAGTAGTAGTAGTAGTAGTAGTAGTAGTAGTAGTAGTAGTAGTAGTAGTAGTAGTAGTAG